TGAGCTACACCATAAAAATAGCATTTCCCCTCCCAGAGTAGTTCACTCTGTAGGGACAATTGTGTAGCCTGAGATATATTTTTCTAAGACTAAATATGGGTCATTATTTGGGCTGGTAGGGCTCTTTGCTAGTTCCAAGATTTATCTTCCTTAAGGTTTCTCACATTTAATGACTAATATATTTTCAAGTTACATCTATACAGACATGTGGACATATGTATTTTCATGTCTTCAGGACATGAGTGCTAGCTGTAGTCTTAAGTTGCATCATTTCTGCAGGCCTGAGAATTGCCTCTTAAATAAAAAAACGAAGGACTGACTTGATAGCTCAACTCAGTGTCTGCATCCTAAATGCCTTGTTTCCAACAGATTCTGATGACATCTGTTGGAAACAGCTCCAAAGTCTCTTAGCCTCTGCCTCTTGCCTCTTGAAAGAAGCAGACCAGTGTTGTATGCCTATTTCCCCAAACTGAGACTTCAGTGAAAAATCAAGGCAGTCAAGAACACATATGGTGACAAGTCAGAATGACAGGCTGGAAGTGTTCTTTCTAGTTAATGGTTGCTGATAGGTTTTACAATGTCTGGGAGAACTTTAACCATGCACTACAATGTTGCCACACTCTGAAACACTGCCACACTGAAACATACATTTGGTTCCAAGTCTACCTAGTGTAGGGAAAACAAAGAAACATTTGCCTGCCATCTTTGACACTTGGTTGGAGTTTTCATGGAGGTGAGTGGTGAGGAGAAGCATGTAAGATATGACTCTCCTAGCTGTTGTTCTACTGAAGCCCACAGAGGTGATCACTGCCACAAGGTACCCAGCTGAAGGTCAGATGGAGCCTCCGTAGCATTTTTGTTTTGATCTCTTTCTTGAGTGAGTTTTGCCTAGTATGTAGTGTGGTGTGTGTGTGTACGCACATGTGTGAGACACTTGAGCATTGATATATTGCAAAATCTCCCCACCTTTTCCCTGATGGTTAGAAATTGGCTATCAGATGCAACAAACACATGTGAGGGACACCGAATATGTATATTAGTTGGAGCATAGGACAGAGGCTATCGATAAAAAGGCTCGGTTACCGCATGTTCTCAGAGTGGAACTTCCTGAGCCCCAGAGAGGTCTAGGAAAGGCCTGGGAAGTGTGGTCCACGTGGATGTTTATATTTGGCTCTAGGTCCCCCAAAACAAAGGCTGACGCAGTTCTTTTTCCAGTCTGTGCAGGAGTTGGCCAATGTTAGGAATGACATTTGCTTCTAATCACTCACCCATCTTAATAATGCTGAAAAGATACAGGGGCCTAGAACTGTGCAATCACTAGTGCTTTGTGACCCCGGAATCTTTGCCAAGTTGAAAGAGATCCTCAAATCTGGGGCGAGTTACAGCTCTATGGTTTTGATCATGATCTTCTTGGAAGATTCTTATTAGGGCCATTTGTTGACAACATTAAGAATTAACAAATTATGTTGTTAAAGGATAACAAAAGTTTAATGGTCTCATTAGGGGGCTATAAAGTCTGTTACTTAAGAGAGGAATATTGTGGTATTGGAAAGCACGAAATATTTACAAAAAGTCTCTTCAGAGTCTATTTTCTAGAACTGAGGCAAAGCTCAGCTTTTGTGGTCAAAAGAATTACAATAAAATAGTAACAAAGAGAAGCAAAATCCTTTTACATTGGGTGACTGTGGGCACCCCTCCCCCATACTGTGAATGTAAATATATTGAGTTAGCTATTTTAAGCTAAAAATTGAACATAAAGGAGAGACAGTCTACTTTCTTTTTAATGTAGAATGGGTTTTTTTTTGGAGGGGGGTGTTGATACCTGGTATGGGAAAAGCAATGGCTGTGGGTAATGCCCCCTACTCTGCTACTTGTTCCAAGAGAGGAGGGACATCTGGGTCACAGGCAGGTCCTTGAAGGCCCTCTTTTCCAAGCAGAATTCTGCTTGTTGTAGTCTGCAGCAATGTACCTCTGGGACTCTGTAGAAGGGGATGGAAAGCAGTGTTGGCTCTATCATGCACAATGGGGCGATGCCAGTGGCCACTTTTTTGGGGGGGGAGGGTGCAGTTTTGGGGAAGGAGGAAAGAGTTTTTGGTGATGAGAGAAACTACTTGCGGGTTGGGAAATCTGCTCACCATTGTTGTAAAACTGGACTGAGGCAATTTCATTTATTCAGCTAGATTCAGACCAAAGAATGTTTGGGTCTGAAATCTATGGATAATTGTGGAAAGAATTCTAATTTGGGAGTTGTAATCTCTGGATTCCAGAGCCAGATTTGTTATATAGAGTGGATTACTTAAAGATAGCCAGCCCACGGGCCTCTGTTTTCTTGTCTATAAAGTGAGTGTTCTTTCTTAGATTCAAAATTATGAGTCCATCCAACAGTCTGTGGATTTGTTTTGTATGTTGATGTGGATATACATTCCCAGAGGCAGAAAAAATTGTAATTTGTTTAACTTCAAAGGGGTGAGAGTAGACACAATAGGTTTTACTTATTGATGCTCACAGACCAGCAAGGCTAACCCCAGAGAGCTCTATTGAGCTTCTAGGAGAATCTTTATTTGCTGGATGGGGTGCTTGGCTTTTGTGTGTGGGAGGTGGTGATGGTGAAGGTGAGGGATGTCAAGAATCTGACTCAGTTCTTGAAGGATCCTTTGGAGTTAACCATGCACAATAGTGGAAATTCTCCCCTCGCCCAGCTCATGCAGGCAGCAGAGGCTCCTAAACACTGAATTCTATTGGCCTAATATTGGTCAAGTTCATCACCTTCTGTCTCTCCAGAATAGTACCGTGAGAATAATACCGTGCAAGGGGCCAGAAGATTGAATGGACTGACCAGAAGGAGATGCCACTATCCAGAGACCTCCTTGCTTCCACAGCCTTGATCCTTGGCTGCTGAGCTAGGAAGACTGAGTGGACATCGATCCTTCCTCTCCACCACAACTCAGACATTCATTGGCCTGGAAATTTCTAGGTGGTTGGGTGCTGAGCTGTCTGGGATGACAGGAACTAGGAAGGTTCTTTACCATCAACCCTAGGCCCAGACAGACCTGGCAGGCATCAAAAGGTATTTCCTCAACCAAACCTGATATCCATTCTTTTTAGTTTCCTCTTCCTGGCCAGGGTCAGCACCCCTGTCCTGCTAGCTAGTATTTGTATGCAGGATGGTGGTCCAGCAGCAAGCAGGGCTCTGGGCAATGGGAGTGGTGGTGGTGGAGGGTGATTGTGGGAAGGGGCAGAGAGAGGACTAGAGGATACTATGCCTGTGTGTTATGACCTTGGTCCTGCTTCTGAAGCTCCATGTCCTGAGATCTCCTCCATGCTGACGATGAGTCCTGGGGCTGCTGAGCTTGAAGCTGATCTTACCAGCAGACTGATCAATCAGATCAGAAGGCCTGTGTCTTTCTGTCTTGTAAAGCTGCAGTGCAGCCTGAAATGAAAGTGTTGGTACAGTGCCACACCCCACCCCTGCAACCCCTGCAGTGAAGCTGTTCTGTGTGTGGATCTGGCAGCCCAGCACCCTGAAAAGTACATTCCTCAGCCTTCCCAGTCCAGGCAGAGGATATGGAACTGACTGTGAAAAGCTCAACCTAGGCAAGAAACTCCCGGGACTCTGACAATTCCTTTGAAAATCCTTCAGTCCCTAGGGACAAAGGCTTAGGAGGGACCAGAGTGTGTTGACTCTTGGCTTATTAGAAGGGATTGTTTCTTTTGAGGGGAGGAGCAACAGTTGTGATTTAAAACAATACCACCTTTCCATGTCTCTTTGAAATTGTTATTTTGTATTCTTTAACATAAACAGTGATTTTAGGAAATGACAAAACATATTATCATCTGGAAAAAAAAAAGAGTAAGTATCAATGGGGACATGAGCATCAGCTTTTGGAACACAGCAGCACACTGCACAGGTAGGGTTCCTAACTGGCGAGAAGACAGGTGGAAATCTGAGGTAGCTGTGCAAGCTACCCACTCCTGCTCTCACACTCATGGAAGACTCTGGGAGCATCATTGAGCATGATTCCTGGGAATAGAACCATTTGTTGATCTGCTTCAGTTTTATTTTCCCATCTAATTCTCAGTTTTGTGGGTGCAACTTAACCCCATTAGTATAGCTCTTGTGATAACTCAGTAGCTAGAACTCCAATCACTGATGGCTTGTTACTGTCAGCTAGACTTAGACATGATCTTTCTTCTATGCCTGCCCCAGAAGGAGCATTCTCCAACAGACTCAATTGCTTTCTTCACCTTGAAATGTTTAGATTCCAGGTCATCTTTCTGGGATGAGATAGGCTTTATTTAAGCAAGACTGGAAGGGATGGCAAGGAGGCCCAGGTTTCTTCTCTCTGGTTTTCTCACCACTTGCACAATTCTTTAGAATTTCTGAATGTGCAAACTGTCAAGGACCCATTGCTTTTGAATGTACCAAGAAACTAGTGTCCACACCCAAGTGTTCACACCCAAGCAAATGTTTTAGTTCACTAAAAGATAGCTTGATTCTGATAAAAAAACAAAAAAAAAAAAAAAAAAAAAAAAAAAACAAAAACCGACATTCAAGTTGTCCTGAAAATTGCCTGAAGGTACTTTTTTTGGTATGTCCAATAAGTATTATGCCAAGATCCAGTTTCAAGCTTCAATCAACTGACTTGAAGATATCCACCTGAGTATAAACTGTTTTTTTTTTTTTTTTTTTTTTTTTTTTTTGCATTGCTCAACTGGCCCGATAAAGAGTCTTAGTGGGCAAGAGACAGGCAGATCTATGTGTTGTGCTAACTCCTGCATGTCTTTTAGTCTAGGGAACCATATTGAAGGCTCATCTTGGACACTGTAAAGCAATATCTGAAAATGAAGCCAGCAATATTTTGATCCCAGTATGAAGTTTTCTGAGACTCACTTCTGAACCCATTTTGGGGGCCTGGTTGTAAAGCTCCACCCCAATCTGTCACCACACAGTGTTTTGTAGATCAATTGTGAGTTTTATTAAAAAAAAAAAGCAGTATGCCTGGGCTTCATAAAATTTATACATGAATATATACACAAACACAAATAATATTAAAATAAAAATCACACTGGGTTTCGTGTGGTGGTGACCCTGGCACCCCACAAACATAATGTTAACTTTTCCTTTACAGAAATTGCTTGGCCCAAGAAGACCACAGTTGGGTAACCACTAATAAAGCTGTAGCCGTTGCCTGCAACATTTCAATTCAGTTTTCAAAAAAATATATAAATAATTTAATTACAAAACCCAACATTTCCCCCTTTTTTGGCACAGTGAAGCATTGGTTGATAGCAGAGAAAATATCTGAAGATTGATAGCTCTCTCACACTCAGTCATGCCTATGAACACCATATACGCACACCCAGCGGGGTCTGAAGGCCCCAAATAGTAGTCATATCATTTATCCCATGGAGTGGTTCCCTGATGTACTTCTTCCTTTCTTTCTTTCTTCCTTCCTTCCTCTTTCTTTCTTTCTTTTTTTCTTTCTTTTTTTGTGGGTAGGGAAGATAAATCAGTGGAAGGTGCAACAAAAATAATAGGAGTAGGAGGGAGAGGAAAGGCTTTATGCAGAAGAGGACAGGCTTAGCCGAAAAATAGAACAGAACGGCTTTGATCCTCCTTACAGTTACAAAAGACAAGGGAAACTAGTCTGGACTAAGTTAAAACACTTGGGTCAAAATGCTTAACTTTAAGGCACGTCTCAAGGAGAAAAAACAAAAAGAAAAAAAAATCTCTATTCCTCTGGAAAGTGGAAGGTGCACAGCCCTGGAGCCTGCCTTCCAACCTCCTCAACAAATGAAGTCCCCGATCCCATCCCAGGCCCTCTGCTGAGCTCAGAGCTCCTTTCAAGCCAGCAGCGTCTCCACGGGGTAGGACAGGTGCGGGCCCGGACCGCAGGCCGAAGCTGCTTGCAGGGCCGCGGGCAGCCGTAGGGGGCAGTACAGGTGCGCCGCACCGCCGGTCTCGAGACCTCGGAATGGCTTGGCTGCGGCCGCGGTGGACAGGGGTGCCAGCAGCAAAGGCGCTGCGGACTGCACCTCGGCTCCGCGCGATGTCAGCTGCGTGGGCTCGCCCGCGCCGTAGGCACAGAGCGGCAGCAGGGAGCCGCCGGGCGCCGGGGGAAGGAGCGCGGGGTAAGCACGCAGCGGCGGGCATGGAGCAGCGCCCCAAGACAGCTGCACCCCCAGAGCCGTGTCGCCGTCGCGGCGACTGCGGAACGGCTTGCTGAGGATGCTGTCGATGGCGAAGGAGCTGGAGAACTTGGTCGCGGGGCTGGAGCGCTCTTCCTGGCGAGCAGGCGAGCGCGCGATCGGGGAGGATCCGGTGGCAGGAGCCGGCTGCGGGGTCCCGGCGGGACCGGGTGGAACTTCCTCGGGCCGCAGCCCCGACGCCGGGACTGTCGTCCGGTGGCTGAGGCGCTTTCGGCGGCGGCGGAAGACCCCGTCTGCGAAGGTGTATTCGCTGTTGGGGTTGAGCATCCAGTAGTTGTCCTTGCCCCAGGGCCGCGAGGGGTCGCGCAGCACCTTGACGAAGCAGTCGTTGAGAGAGAGGTTGTGGCGCACGGAGTTGCGCCAGCCGGTGTAGCTGCCGCGGAAAAACGGGAACTTGCCCATGAGGTACTCGTTGATCTCGGCCAGCGTCAGGCGTCCGCCCGCAGAGTCGCGGATGGCCATGGCGATGAGCGCGATGTAGGAGTACGGGGGCTTGGGTCGCCGCGTGTAGGGCTTGCTGCGCGCGCCCTCGCCGCTGCCCACGCTACCCGCGCACGGCCCTGCCGCGGAGGTATGCGCTCTGTCGTCGGTCACCTCGGAACCGTCCTGGGAACTGGGCCCGCCACCCGAGCTCCTCTTGCCGCCACCGCCCTCCAGATCTCCCGCGCCACCACCCGCTGCTGGGCTGTTGGCCGCGCAGTCCCCGTCAGAGCCTAAGGAGTCGTCACCAGCCGCGGACAGCGGAGATGGCGCGTCGCTGCTGCCAGCACCTTCCAGGTCACTGCCCATCTTGTCCCCGTGGGCGGCGCGTGGGGCGAACACCTCCAATTTCATGCCGGCGCTGATGCTTCTGGTCCGGTGCTGTACCCTTTTCCTGCGAGGTCGTAGGAAGCGAGTGGCGCGCGGCGTGGCGATCCCGCGCGCAGGAGGCAGGCTTCTCCCAGGAGGGACCGCTCCTGCCTCTTCCCGAGAGGCACTTTTCCGTAGAAAGGTTCTCTTCTGCTGGAGTGTTTTTTGGAGGTGTTATGAGTGTTGAGTGACTTGAGGGGAGGAGAAGCAGAAGTTAGTGCAGGGCTGTCCTTACTCCGAGGTTTAGAGACTTTAGGCGGAAAGAAAGCGAGGGATGAAGGGGCCACCCGGCGTAGCGGGTGCCAAAGCAACCTCAGGGTTTCGTTCTGGGAGGAAGGAGCCGGTGCATCTGCTATCTGTCCAGGCGTCCAGAAGGATTCCTTCGTTTGACGTCCAGGTATCAGGCAGGCGTCCTCAAGGCACCGAACTGACGTCCGATAGAGTCCCCGCTACTCTTGAGGATCAGACGTCTTTAGCCTCGAGAGCCCAAGGAACACAGTCTTCGTGGCCGCCGCGTCCGCAGCCGCCTTGCCACCGCCGGCCTCCCGCGCAGCATGTCCGCGCTGGCCGGCCGCAGCAGAATCTCGCCTTCACCTTCGGTCCGGCCCAATATAACCATGCGGCGGGGGCGGGGCCTGGGCGCCCACGGCCAGGGGGTGGGGGAACAAGGTGGCCGCGGCTCCCCCCGGCGCTCACCAGGCCGAGGCCACGCGGCGGCGCGGCCACAGAGTCTCCCCGGGCGCAGGTTGTTTGTTTTGGGTCTGGCCGGCCCCGCCCTCCCGGTCTCGCCAATGGGGAGCGAGCGCGCGGCGGGGTGTGCGCGTGTGTGCGCCTGTGCGGCGGCCGCGCCCGTCCCGGGCAGGTAGGAGCTCCTGGCCTCCCGCGGCCACCGTGGAGGGGTTTCTACTTCCCGGGATTGACTGAGACGATCGTACTACTGTATCTGGTAGTGCTGACACATTTGGATACTCCCAGGGGGACACCTTCAAGGGCCGGGTCGACGGACTGGGACTTTGTATAGGTCTGGTGGCCTTACTGAACTGCGTGCTGCATGTGTAGTTTTGGCAGGGAGAGCCGCGATTCTTAAGAAAGCAAACCCCTCTGGTGATGTCTGAATCATTGAACTGCAGAAACCTCGCACAACAGACTTTTCCCCGGAGCCACGCGCCCTTCTTATGATTGATTTCCTTTCTATGGCTAACGTTTACTCTTGTAACAATTAAAAACCTGAGCTAGAAATTATGAGTTTTTTTGGTTGATCATGTCTGTTGCTCCTTAGCCAGCCTCCGACTTTCACTTTTATTTTGTCTTACCTAGCTGGAGGCTCTGGGGAGGGAGGCAACGCCCCATTCTTCTGCGGGAAGACTGTTGCCAGGAGGGTGCCAGGCTCTATCTGCACTTGAGTCCCTTCTGAAGTCTCCAGGTCAGTAGACAGAGCCCACAGCCCTGTTCTCAGGTTTGGCAAGTGACAGAGTCATAGGGGAGTGTGTGTTCCTTGGAGCTTCATCCAAGAGTAAGGGACGTTTGCGCCATTTGTCTCTAGCCATTCTGTAGGACTTGCCTTGGCTTCAGTGGCACTGGTTTCAGATAGGAAAGGAGGCCCTTTCAATTATTCCCTGGACTCTCCAGACCTGCTCCAGCAGGAGCAGGAGGAAAGCGGGCCTTAGACCCGGAAGTGTGCACTTCTGACCCTGTGCCTACCACACCAGCTTCCTCCTTCTTCCTGCTTTTGTTGCAAACAGAGTAGAAGGTTGCGACTATGTGGGAGCGCATCTTTGAAGTTTATTTTATTACTTTCCACCATTTGTGTGGAAACATACACAAGCATCTCTTATCTTCAGTCAAGATGCAGTGGGCACTATGACAGTCAGGGAGGAATCTGATAGTCTATGTTATGGATTACATTACTATGTGGTGCACAGCTAAAGCTGTGTTTCTGGGGATGTGTGGCTCCCTCCAGTCCTGGAAAGGAGCTACTTTGGAGGGGTTTGCCTTCACTTTAGCCTGGGAATGGGGGGTTCCCAGGTCCTGGCCAGGGAAATGAATTGGGATGAGGAATTAGCCCAGCAAGGAGGCAAGGCATTGCTTTGGCCAGGGATAAAAGACATTCTTAATGAAGGTTGGCCTTGTTTGAACTCAGGGGGTAGGCAGGGCAGGACAGGAGGACTCATGCCTGTTTAATGGGGGAGATACATCTAGGAGAGTTGAGACTCAGAAAGGCCAAGAGGAGATCCCAGTTCTGGGAGCCTTGGTGGCTGCCAGATAGGGCAGACTACCTCAACCTATCCTGCACTCCATTTCCACTTTTCTTACCCAGTGTCCTCTCTGGCCCCTAACAGACATTCTGCTTACCTTGATCTTGGGTAGGTCAAGAACTGCCCATTCCTTATTCCTATTGGGTTTGGAGTTTGTGAAAATTTGGGCAGATGGGAGGGAAGTGGGGATGGAGAATTCTCAGCAGGACAACTTTTTCTACTTTATGAGTCCTTTGGGAGGTTGGGACTGCCTATAGCCTACTACTAGGACTTTGGAAAGGAAGACCCCTGGGAGAAAATGGCCAGGTCTAGCCATGTGGGAAGGGGAAAAGGAGCCCAGGAACTAGGATATAGTTTCCACCAAGATGGATCTTATCTTTATTTCATGGCTTTATCTCTTATCTTTGCCCCATCCATGTCATGTGTTGGGAGTTATTTGTCTTCAGTTAAAATCCGAAATAAAACCACTCTATCCTGTCCCAGTAGATTTTGGCATTATCATTATTATTATTATTAGTGGTTGTTTTGTAGCTGGGAAATCATTCACCTTTTTTGGATGTTAAGAGAAAGCAGCAGGAGGAATACCTGTTCTCTGCATCTCTATCATTTCTATCCACACATCCAGATGTTGGTGGGGGTTGAAAAGTTTAAAAGAACCATCACTGAACCCTCCCATCTCCATTTTCGACAAGTTTCCAAAAGAAAAATTCAATATGGAGGTTTCTCCTCTCTAATTTTGTCTATTTAGGATTATGTTATTGATGGATTAATAGTAAGTGCCTGTGGGTGAGGAAGACCTATTAGCTCATCTCTCCCCTTGCCCTTTAATTTTCATGAATATAAGTGGCTGAACTCTACAAAGGGGACATCCACACCTCTTTTTTCCTCCCTGAAGTGGTTTTAGGAAGAGAAAAGTGAGGCACAATCTCTAGACTCCAGCAGGAATTTATCTGTAGGAACTGATGTTTTTCTTAATGTTTTCCTGGCCAGTTCCTAAACATTAATCTAGAAAGGAAAGCACTTAATCCCTAAACAGTCAGGTGACTTGGCAGACTGGGATAGATTCCCATTAGGAACATAGACAACTTGTTTTCTGTATCGGGATAGTGAACTGCCTTGTAGTACAAGGAAAGTCACAGAATCACCCAATAGTTCTCTCTCTTTTCCACTATTTTTTTTTGGCCTCCTTCTCGGCCAGTTGCACTCTACAAGACCCACCTCCTAGAAATTGGGTTCACTTGGTTCCATAATTCTTCTTAGCTGTTTTGCTAAGTAAAAATTGGGCAAGATAAAAAATAGATTATCTAGGGCAAGATAGAAGGTAGAGATGCTTGAGAAAGTGACCTGATTCTGTAACCAAGAGACAAAATCCCAATTACTGTAGCATGGTGTGGGAAGGTATTATCCAGGAATGAAAGAAAGCCCTAGGCTTCTTTATTACAATAGGCTCCTAGCTTCAACCCTGGGGGCACTGATCCATCCTTTAAACCTGACCAGACCTGAGGAATTCTCAGTGCTCAGATTTAGTTCAGTTTCCTTATTGTCTAATGTTCTTTAAACTTTCATATTGAAAAGCAGAACTTTTGAGTGTCCTTGCCATAAGTTAATTCTAGTCTTTAAAATTCTTAATTTTGAGGTTGCTATTTCTAGAATAAATTAAAAACCAGACCTTTCCTGTTGTTTATCATGGGAAGAGGCCTGTTTTTCCATGAAGACAAGTGACTCTCATCTTTCAGAAGAGGTGCTGTTAAGTTGATGGTATAGACTGTGAGGATAGCTCAGTCAGTAAGATACAAGCATAAGTACCTGAGTTCAGTTCCCCAAATCAGCATGAAAATAAAGCCAGGTCTGGTGGCAAACAGTTTTAATTCTAGCACTGGGAAGACACAGACAGGTAGATCCCTAGGACTCACCAGCCAGCCTACTTATTTAGTTCTAGGCCAGTGAGAAACCTTGTCTTAAACAAACCAACAAACAAAGCAGATATCCAAAAAATTATCTTTAGCCTCTACACACCTATGCACAAACATACACAGAACATACACAGAACAATAATACCAATACTAGCACTAATACCAATAATAACCTCAGCCACCAGATTTTAGACTCTTCTAGGTGCTTTTTGTGCCTTAAAGTCTAGGGAGGTCATTTTGCAGGGAGAGACTGTCTTTTGAATCACAGATGGCCAATTTCCTTGTGGTAACCCAGCAAAGTTGTCAGGCATAAACCTGGAAAGGGAAAAGAAAGTTCCTAGGTGAATGAACAATTTCCTTCAGCCATTTACTCCTAGTCTATGGCCAGCACCTGTATTCCAGAAAGAGAAAGTCACAGGCCTCCTGCTTGAACACCTGGTGGGACTTGATAGTTGTGTCGTCCAGAGGGATAAAATATATTTAGCAGATCATGTAAGAAAGGTTGTGGTGACTTATTGGTGGAGGTGTGGGTGAGCCAGTCCTGAAGTTACTTCTCAGTCATGTGGCGGCATGGGTGGGGGAGAGATGCCCTTTCGTTGTTCATCAGCACATGAGGTAGGTGGCAGAGCTGGCCCTGAAGTCATAAGAGAGGGAGACCTGTCCCTGGCCTTCATCAGCTGCAGCACTTGAGAGACTGGCTCCTATGCTACTCTTAGGCCACACAGTAGAGTTGACCCCTGAAAGGGTAGGAGTGAGAGAGCCAACCCTGAGGATGTGAAAACAGGAGAACTGGCCCTGCCCTTTGCTCATTGCTGCAAGGGGGGAACTAGCCAGGGCAATGCAGGAGAGCGCCCCCTGATGGTGAGCACAGGGGAGAGCCAGTGGGCTGACCAACCCTGTGACTACCCAGGCCCGGAACCCATCCCAACATCCACCACATATATGATCTGTTGGAGCAGATGAAGGGACAAGTCCTGCAGATCCAAAGCTGCAGGATCTCCACAAAACAGGGCAACCAT